AGAGAGAAAGGAAATCCAAAATAAACATATATGTATAATCATTTAATTTATTTATTCAATTTAAATGCATTACAATACTGAAGCATATAATCTCATTTTTTTTCTTCAGCCAGTACAACAAATATAGCAAAGGCACAGGGTCATAAGTACACAATGTGATACTCAGAAATAACACTCATAAATATATATCATAACGACAATTTGTAACGTCCACACGTAGTCACAACACATCAGAAAAAGTCAAGTGCATGTTTATGTCCTTGTGTTTGAAATAAAGTTTCTTTGGCGTTGGCGTTTTCTTATATTTTCTTATTTTATTAACATATGTTAACAATGTCTTTATGGTCGTTTCTTATATTTTGAATATTCCATTTAACTCTTCCATTATGCAAACTATTATAATTCTCGTAAAATTTATCGATTAAGCCCATAGTTTTAATAAATACACATATAAAAACAACTTGACCGAAAAATATATTAATACTTGATTATCATTATAATTCAAAAATAATTATCAAATTAAATTGGCCACGAAAAAAATATTTGGCACAAAATTAATCATCCATTTTATACACGGTTATAAAATTTCTAAAATACGGATTCACTTATAGCGAATAACATTCTATTTCCTTGTTCCGAATTAGAATGTCTGATAAAACTGAACCGGGACACATCAATATCATATCGAATCCATGTGAAATATCATTCAAATATCATTCTACACGATTTTGTTGGAGACATGTCCATCTATATAAAAAGGATGCACCAATGTGCCATGTATACACACACACACACATATATACAGTGTATGAATATAAAAGTAGAAAAAAAAATCACGTATGCATGGTCTCTCTTTCCTAACTACTGGCCTCCGCTTAGGCTTAGCCGTATGGAGGTTATCACAGTTTTTCTCACCACAATGGAATGCAGAAAATCACAGAATGTCCTATTAGTCGCGAATCGCTCTGCAATACGATTTGTTTCTTTCTTTTTTTTCTTTTGCAGGAGGGGTTCTATATGATTGCATTAAAAAAATTCTTCCTTCCTAAAAAAAAGTATTAAATTTATTCGTGCAGGTAAAAGGGGGACAGACGCGTTATGAGTTCGCACCGTATGAGAGGCGTATCTTTGTACCACGTGAGCGTTGTGCGTTCATGGAACACTTTGTGACATGGACAAGTTGAGGTGAAGTTGGGAAGACTGGCTTGGTGACTCTCCGCTGGAAGTGACTAGGGATTTCCGTCTCTTCTTGACACAAATACTGACTCTTTGTTCACCATATCCTCTTTTCCTGTACTTGGAAATGCTACACAACAATTCATATTCCAGCGAATATCTGTTCACGCGATTTACCAGTATCTCGTTCCTTCACCTCAGTCTTTGGCAAACAATATATATATATAGAATAAAATCTCCTTTCGGAATAATACCAGACCGAAACACCAGAGGACCGAGAAAATCCTGCTTTTCGGTCCCCCACTGTCGGCATCCGTCACGAGACATGCTCAGAAATCACGGCCGTCGAGAGCATCGTCAACACGCCCAACGCGACCAGAAACGACCACGACGGAGCCCGGAGATGGGACGACGCGTTGCAGAGGTCGTAGGAGCAGTAGCAGAAGGTCGTCCGGGTACGGCGACTGTCCCAGCTGATGTCGTTGGAGTAACATTTGTCTTCCAGCACCTGCATGCTGTCCTCCAGGACCTCGGGGCTTCCGCAGTACTGCTCCGAGACGCTGGCTCCTGCGGGATTACGGGGGCGTGGTTAAGGGAAAGGCAAGGAAGGGGAAGGAGAACGAGTGTGTGTGTAGGCCTATGCAGAGTGGAAGAGTAAAACGGAGACAAAGAGAGAGAACAAAATACATGAATATACTCAAGAATGGATACATAAACAGAGAGAGAGAGAGAGAGAGAGAGAGAGAGAGAGAGAGAGAGAGAGAGAGAGAGAGAGAGAGAGAGAGAGAGAGAGAGAGAGAGAGAGAGAGAGAGAGAGAGAGAGAGAGAGAGAGAGAGAGAGAGATACTACACTAAAACCATAAATGTAAACCTTATACTCTACAAATATACCACAGAATAATCTATTTCCAGGTGAAAGTAATCGAAAAGTAATCGATTAATGATCGCAAAAGTAATCGAAGATGTCGATTCCATTGTACACACAAACAGACACACACACACACATAGATGTATATATATAAGCATTAAGATATATCACCCTTCTCTACAAACACCTATATCTATCTATCTATCTATCTATCTATCTATACCCCATAGAAGCACAAAGTCGGACATACCTGTGACCTTGCTGACAGTGAGTTTGGTGACGCAGCGGTGCACGTCGGGACTGCATATTTGGACCGTCGCGTATTTGGGTTCCAGACAGGCATCCCGACCAAGGCACTTGAAGCACATTCTCACGTTATCTGCTTGCATACATGAAAAAGAGAAGGAGAGAGTGAGAGAAAAAAAAATATTTTCCTTTGAAATTTCATGTGATTAT